CTGGCGCAGGATCGGGCAGTGTTTCGTTCTGCTGTGCATGGGGTCGCTATGAGTCGGAAACGACTCGAGGGCACTTAACAACAACAACAACAACAACAACAACATGGAATCTAGATGCTTCTTATTTGAGGATTTTTCTTTGCCTCTTAAAGAGCTGGAACCAACCTTTGTTTTTCAAAAAGTCATCCTGCTAGAACCCTGTGTCCTGCCCAGACTAGTTTTGTCCTGAACTAATAAGACTATGGGAGCCACCCTCCTGGTGGATTTGATCTGTGCCAAGCACATTTGGTACATTTGATATACTTTGTAGGTATGAGAGCAAATCATCTATAAATAAAATAGCTTTTTAAAACTCTGACTTAACTGTGTTCCATAGAGTCTTCAAGTCTGTGACCTTTTAGAAGACTGCCAAAAGGTGCCTATGGATGGCTTTGAATTGCTAACCTTTTTGTTTAATAGTTAAGAGTTTAACCAACTCTACCTCCCAGGGGCTCAAAACCCTCACTTAAAAGTCCCTAACATACTGCCTGACACCCTTACTGTAGATGTTTATCTCCCACATTTTGTGATGTTTATTCTTTCCAAATAGTCAGACACAGGTTAACTATAAAACAAGCAGCCTCAGAAACCTGGATAATAATACATGCATCTTTGAGAAGTAGATATTTATATTACACAGCACACTGAGTATTAAAATAAATGCTCTTTCCCAGATGGAATGCTGGCAGAAAACCAGAAGAGTTTTCTTTTACTTCAATTTCTCATTACCTGTGCTCCATCTGTCAACAAAACACTTTCAAAATTTAAAAATTTGTAGCTGGGAAAACTAAACAAACAAAAAAAGTGTGCAAGGCATTCTTTAGTGCATGACACTAATCTTGCTTCTGCTAAGTATGTATTTGTGTTTAATTAAAGAGAAAAAAAAAAACACAGAATTTTCTAAGGTGGAAACTATGAAGTATAAGGCAGAACTTCACTACCACCACCACATCCAGTTCTCTGAATGAGGACAGGAAGAACGGAAGAATTAGTTGGAGCTCATATGATGGACTCTAAGCTGTGCTGGAAGCATACAAAGTACAAGTCACACAAACAAAACACTCTAATGGGCACACAGGCAGTCAAGTGAAATAGGACTATATTGTAGGGGGACTGAAATAAGCCACATGTGTTTCTTCAGGGGTCACTATCAATAAACACCTGGAAGGTAAAGCTTTAGCATTCTAAGAATACTGTCAGCCACCCAACCAAACTCCACCCCAGTGCTAGACTGGATTAGGTGGCTGCAGAGCCAGTAAACAAAGGAAAGATAAGACAATTACAAGTACAAAACAGCGCCAAATAGGCAAATTCTAGATTTCAGCTCAAGGTTAGTAGTAAATGATACACAGCATTTAGCACCTAGGTTTTAAAGTAGTTAGACTGTAACTTTATATGGCAGTAAGGACAGGTCTGCTACTATGCAGTTGCATCACCTAACTTCCCTGAGCCTTGGTTTCCTCATATAGAAAATCTAGTTGGAAAAGATGATTTCTAAGGTTCCTCCAGCTCTAAAAATTCTATGAGTCTATTATAATTTAAAATTTTGGGGTATAACTCTGGCATTATTTTTATTAGTTTTCAGAAAACTGAAAAAAAAAAAAATTAGGTAAAGCTACAGCTAACCAAATTCATCCTTCTAAATATGCTACCCCCCAAAAAAAAGCTGACAGAAGACTCTTGCTAGTACCTTTGTTTAAAGTACTAAAATCAATGTTATATGCTTCTTATTAGGGCTGTTTCACAGATCACCAAGAATCACTGAATTTTTGAGCTGGAAGGAAATTCACTTTTTGTTATTGCCTGATGGATTTTTGAGTTGCAGACCTACCTTCTTTGATCCTCTGCTCTACTTGGCTCTCAGGTAACACAGACCTGGCTAGGCAGAACTGGCATTGATGCTAGGTCAGTGTAGAATGAATAGTTCAAAGTATGGGGAAATGAAAATAGCAGAGAAATGGCTATAGGAGAGAAGGGAGCAGTGGAAAATTTTAGTCAAGGAAGTAGCTGATGCAGTTTTATTTAATAATTGTTACTAATTATAAAATGGTATGCACATTATTTGATTTTATGAATTTATTAATGGAAGTTAAATATATTTTCTTTTAGTGTATACCACATGTCAATGGAGGAAATACTTCTTCCTTCAATCTTCCATAATGATCATTTTCCTATCTCTTGTTACCTCCCCTCGGAATCAATCGAAAATAAAATGGGAGTTGAGATCAGCAAGTAAAGTACAAGTACAGAGTAGAAGTAAGTAAAGCAAAGAACTTTGAAAGCAAAAACTGACTAAAGAAAATTAATCTAAGAGTACGCTCTGATGTACCTAAGATATTTTGCTATCAAAGGGGAAAGAAAATACGCTACTCAGGACTTTGAAACTGTATATCCAAGTTTCTTCCAGGAAATGTCAGTGTATTCATTTCCCCGTAACTGTATTTTGTATCAAAACTCAGAATTAATTTCCAATTTAACAAATTACTGAAAGACACTGCTAATTCGAGAAGTTACATTAGGATGAGTAAGTCATTTGGAACAAGATTAGGTAATAATAAAATTATTAATAAAGTTCTAGATCAATCAAGTCTGCAATATGGGTCTAAAGTCAGGCAGGTAATCTCACTATGGCCCCACTAGGACTATAAGGCCAGGCACAGGACTACATGACTTTGTAACCATCCACAGAACTACCATATATTTGTGTAGGCAAACCCACAAAGCTAAATTTATACAAAAAAAAAGAGGCTAGAAGTACTATAGATAGTTTTTTGCTTAATGAAGACAAAATACAAAGCTTCCCATTCTTGACCCTGTGCATACTGACTTAAAGCAGGTGGAGACACTATATCAAATGGAAACAAAGGACAGAGAAGACACATAAGCCCAAGAACACAGAAAAGCAGAAGAGACATGACAGTCAAAAGGTTAAAAAGTGTCTCAGTTCTCTGATGCAACAGCTGAAATATTTAAAATCTGTTGTGGGTGGGTAACTCACCTAAAACTGAATCAATAGTGATCAATAATTAAAGACTTACCTGTACAACATGCCAGTGCCGATGTCCGAGCAAAGTGCTTAAACCCTGAGACTCTAAACCTCCATCAGAAAATGGACTCTTTTCCTGACTGGACTTATGCTCAGAATGTGCTGAAGAACTCCGTGGATTCTGGGCTTGGGAGGCGTCCCCACAGTTCAAGTACAAGCGGTCCTCCCCCTGTAGTAACACTTGCTCTTGGTTACTCTAGATGAGGTCCAGGAGAAACAGGGGCAAAGGAGGAGAGGAAGTCAAAACATACAACTCAGGTAGGGGAAAGGAGCAACACATCTGTTTAGTTTCATTACAGGAAATGCATCTCAACAGGTTTTCTTCAAAGAACAAAGACTATACAATAAACACATCAATGCTGTATTTGGAGAGGACAGGCAGTATTTGTAATGCCTACTTAACAGTCTAAATGAAATGTTTTTTTAAAGACTGCTTTATTATGCACATTCCAAAACACGACCAGGTTAACAACTACCATAGCAGCACCTTTCATTACTACTCCACAATGTCAATGTCACAAGAGACTTTCTATTTGAAAAAGTGAACGTAACTATTCACTCTTTATGGTTTACAAAATATTTCTACACAAAATACCTCATAAATAGTGGTAATAAAACATTTCTGGTTGAGAGAGAGAGAGAGAGAGAGAGAGAGAGAAAGAAAACTCACCCATGTGAAGGAAGAAGAGGTGGATTAGAGACAATGGAAGAGCTTCTAAATCATGGGGTAAAGGGAAGAGTGGCCTAAGTTTGTGATCCTGGTTCAGAACAATTAAACAATCATTTGGTGAAGGCTTGGTTAGTGCCAAAGACTATTCCATACTCTGACAAATATTCAGACAAATATGATGGTTTCTGTTTTTGCTTATTATGCCTTGGTTTTAAGGCCAGGATTCTCATTAGTGGCTATTCAAATAGAATGGATCAGCACCCAACCCCCTCAACCATTCCATCACAGTCTAAATGTTATCTTGACATAAAACTCAAGGGGACTTCTTAATTATTCTTTGGAATGAAGGAGAAAAAAGAATGAATATTCTACTTTTGTTTTTTGGGGGAATGCTTAAGCTTCAACTGCAGTAATGGGATCTGAGATCTAGGCTATTTTCACATTCTTTCTCAATGTGTTGTAATTTTTAAATTAGAAACTAGTTGCACTATTTAAAAACCTGTTGGTGGTAGGTATTAATATGTACATTCCTAACATGTAATACAAACATATACTATTTCAGAGTGATGAGTATTAGAAGTTTATGTAAGTCAGGGCACTGTTTCCTAAAGCAGATTCCTAAAAATACTTTCTTCCAGCTATTCCTTAAAAATTCATTGCTAAATAATCTTGAGAAACACTGATTTTTATATAACACTGCATTTTCATAACACACATAAGCATATTAAAGACTCTGAAGTCATACAAGAACTCTATAGAGAGTAGCTTTGTTTAACTTCTATGTTTCACATTTATATGACAAGAGAATTTTTTTTCTTTGTGTAATTACTCTTGACACTTAAGTGGTTCCTGGTGGAAAACTCTTGTGGAAATTACTATCCAGATAAAGACTGTATTACTCAAGTAAATCTGTAAACATTGCTTTCTCTCAAATTGCTTGTGACCCTATTAAAATAAAACCCACAAAACCTGGTCAGAAATAAACTTTGGTATAAATTTAATATAAATTAAAAAGAAACACAAGAATCAGAGAAAATACACAAAACAGGATAATATGCCAAGTTTAGGATACCCAACATATCTGTGTCATCAGGAAGAATCTGAAATTCTGACACAAAAGCCACTGGGGGGAAAAAAATCAAGAGCTTTAAATCCACTTACCATACAAGGGTTTACGGTGAGTACACTCTTGATAAACTGAAATAGGAGAATGCCAGGCTGTTTAACTACGCTCTTGAGGTCGGACTCAGTTTCAGTATTCTGAGAACCACCATATCCACTGATTACCCACAGGTGATAGCCTTCTGTACCCCAGCTCTTCAGGCAGAGAGGGGAGATGAAAAGAGAAGAAAAAAAAAAATCAAGGCAATGAAAAGTTTCTTGATATCTTTTCCTAGCTTAAAATATTCAAGTTTTGAACTAACCAACAAAACCATTTTGAATGACTGCTGAAGGCTGAGGAAACCATGATAAACTGGGTACAGACCAGAACCAGTCCTTGCTCTCTGTCTCTGTACAGAAGAGGAGATAAATGACACTGTACTTAGAGTCAATTTCTTAGGATCTCAATCCTAAGAAACATCCACTGCTTTAATTTCTCCAAGAATAGATTAATTGCTGAAGTGGAAAGAAATTCTTCAAAGAGGAGACCCAGGCCACCTAGTTGAAGCCCGACAAAGAAGCATCTACAACAGATGCAGTTTAGTATAGAGCAAAGAATACTGGGTGGGAAGGTGGGAGACTATAGTTTGCATTCCAATTTGGCTTCCATTCTATTTCCTTGGCCAAGCTGTTCTCAGGGCATTAAGTTCCCTTGTCCGTAAAATCCAAAATTTCAAATAAATTTCTCAAGTCCTAGTGAATGTTCTGTGACTAAAGTTCATGACAGTATTTTCAGGATTAGTAATTCCCAACATGGGAGCTAAGAAAATAGTACTGGGGGGTCCATTACTTGTAAAATTTAAAAAACATAATAGAAGTTTTATGTTTTCTCATGATAAAGTTGTACAAGCTAACATAAATGTTTAGATTCTGTGACTGAAGTATCAAATCAGCAAGGTTGCTAATACCAGTTATTGCATGCCACTGAGAATCAACAATTGGCAGTTAAATAAATGCTTTTTGGTTGGAAACCTATTTTAAAACATAGGAGTGGGAGAAACATCAGAAGAGGTCCTTGGTGGTGAAAGGTTAGGAACCAATATTCAAGGTAGTTGTAATTCTTGGACTACTCCAAAATTTTGAAAATGCCTCCCTCCCACTGAGACTATGGCTCCTAGCTGCCCCTCAGGCCTGGAATTGAACCCACTCCTGTGGCTTTCAGCCAAACAAAAGACAGGCGCATAAGGTGAACATTTACCTAGGTAGATTTATCTGCGTGTATCTAGGTAGATACACTCTTTGGAGAGAACAACCATGGGAGAATAGAAGGGCTGTGTATGCACAGGGAGACAGCTCAGGGGGCAGGAGTACAAGGAGGGAAGGACACAGGGAAGAGGTAACTATGGGAGGAAGTGGGAGGGGAGCTGTTGAATTGTGGTACACTGTAGTCAATATCATGAGACAAAGTGTATGTGAGCTGCTGTATGGAAAGTGAATTTGCTCTGTAAACTTTCACCCAAATCACAATTAAAAACAAAAAAAATTGCAGCCAAGGGGGAAAAAAAAAGAACCCCTCTCTCTCTATAGCAAAAGAGAAAAGTAATCATAAGCTTCATACCAACTAACTTCTCAAGGATGGTACTCAGACGGGCCATCTTAAGGAACTTTTTTTTTTTTTTTTTTTTTTTAATGTAAAGACAGGGGCTACCTCAGTTTTCTGTAGAAACTCTGGAAAAATGGGTAATAAAATATATTCTTAAGCAGTGACAGTAAGTCTTCTGGCATACATCAATGGAGAGCTCTAAAAACATACTCAAATAATACAAAGAGTGCATCTTAAAGGAAAAATCACCAATGAACACTTTGCGTTATGCTAAAAGAAAGGAGGCCCTCAGAGGTCAGTGCTTGTAAGTCACACAGAAAATGGAGACAGGCTTTGAAAAAAGAAAGGCTTGATATGAACAGTCATTACTTCACAAAGATGACAGCAGCTTGCTGGACACATCTAAGCAAAACCAAAATCAAGTACTGAAAATCAGACAGCCTCTTGATTTTTTAAAAATACTTCTATCAAAGCAAGAATTGTATAAGGAAGAGTCCACCTCTCTTAAGAGAAATTAAAACAGCTTTGTGATTTTATCAGACCAACATGAGGAACAAGAAGGGGGGGAACCCAAGTTTCTCACATTTTTCTTTTTTTAATAGAAACTGCTTACCATAGAAGTGATCTTAAGGGGCTCTTTTTTGGTACCATCAGACCTATAACTAACAAAGAACAGAGACGGAACTTAAAATGTCTTCTAATTACATATACCAAAAACCCAAACCCACTGCCATTGAGTTGATTCTGATTCATAGCGACCCTAGAGGGTACAGTAGAACTGGCCCATAGGGTTTCCAAGGCTGTAAATCTTTATGGAAGCAGAATGCCATGTCTTTCTCCTGTGGAACAACTACTGGGTTTGAACTGCTTGCTGACCTTTTGGTTAGCAGCCAAGCACTTCACCATCGCAACACTAGGACTCCTTTAATTATATAAAATACACATGATTTGGCTTTAATTTTTTAAAAATCAAACTGATTTTGCTCTTTTAAATAAAAATACATGATAATGCATGAAGTACCAGAGCACTGGCTAATACACCTAGGTATATAATTGAGCCACATTCTCCTACAGCCAAAGTGACTTCTTGACAGGTCATGCAGTTTGGGAAGCTGTGTTTATTCCACCAGCACTGAGGTTCAAGAAAATACAAAGTGGGCAGAAATATCAACCTACTAATGAGATACTAGGAGCTCTGGTAGCATAGTGCCTAAGGCACTTGACTGCTAACCAGAAGGCTGGCGGTTCAAACCCACCAGCCACTCCTCGGAAGGAAGGTTGGGCATTCCTATTTCCGTAGTGATACTGCCTCGGAAACCCAAGGACGGGTCACTATGAGTCGGGGCCGACTCGATGGCAAATAACAACAACAACAACAACAATGAGATACTGTAACTTTCTACTTCCTAATGATTACTTTTGTACATGGCTTACCTCTCTTATCAGATGATAAGGTAACTACCTGAAAGTTGAACTATGTTTGATTCAGCTTCAAATCTAACATGCTGCCAGATACACAGCAGGGTTTTAATAAATGTTACCGAGCTGCCAGTTTTAAAAGGATGAATGTTTGGAGAATCGATACATTCTGAACAAATTAATTCTGAACTTTACAAACTGTTCTGGGATAAGGGACAAATAAAGCAAGAAGGGTATAAGACACAAAATATGTGTCTGTGCTTATTATCCAGGGGACAGTGAAGTTATTTTATCTAGACTTTGTTGTAATTCACTCACGCGAAATCTCCTCCAAGGGTACAAACCAGCTGGGCTCCAAACACACTCCATAAAGAGAGTCCTCCGTACTCCCAGGTCACTGTTACAACACTATTGTCAGGAGACCATCTGATTAATTTAACAGCTCCTGTTTTGTTCCAAATGTCTGTTAAGAAATCATGAAAGGAGTTGAAAATAAATAATTGCTTCAGAAATACTTTGTATTTTATAGTCTGTATCTTCTATACAGCAGAAAGGCGTAATTCCAAACCTGGCCAATTTAGGGCTACTGAAAATCAGGCCCTAAGCCTTGACCTGATTTAAGCAGAACAAACTTAGTACCTAAGCAATTGATAAGAAATCAAAGCCATTTCTGGCCATTTTTAGACTGAATAAATACCACTGGGTATTTGGCTTTGAGCAGGTCCAGTGTGAATGACTCAATATTGAATGTGAAAGTAATTGCAAAGTGTTAAGTCTCTTAAAACGTAAAGTAATATTTTACAACTATCTCTATACTGCACTGTCAGTATCAAAGTCAACATTGACTTTCAACCTTGTATTAGGAATAAGCAAGCATACTCCAGCCTAAGTACTCCAGGTACCCATATCTTCTTTTATTTAATAATGGTTCATCTCCATATATAATTACTAAAGGAGAAAATTCCATTGTGTATTAAAACCTAAGCTTCTTTAATGTAGAAAAAGACTCACTGCCATCAAGTCAATTCCGACTCAGCAACCCCTCCTTAGATTTCTGAGGTGGTACCTCTAGGAAATAGATTGCTCAGTCTTCCTTCTGAGGAGTGGCCGGTGGGTTTGAACCACCAGAGTTAAAGACACCAGCATTTCCTTGCAATTCAAAGAGATCTACAGTATTACTTTCTTTAAAATTTGAATTTCTTTCCATTTGTAGCTGCTAATAAATTGTTGCTATAACATCTGCTACAAAGGGGAGGTACAGAGATTTTAGCTTGGCTAATAGACTAACATTTTTTTTTCCCTCTGCCTATGCTTGAATCCTCATGTTAGCATATATCCCACCATAATTATTTACATGAATATCCATATTATCTATGTAGATAAAAGATAAATATCATATCTTATTAGCATATTTTATACTTGTCCAGGAAAGGAATTTAAGCAAACCAAGAAGAAACATAAAAGAAAATTGAGCTATACGCAATTAAGGGGGGGGG